TCAATGGAGCTGAAGGAATGACACAAGATAGCAAGCATGTAACTTTCCACATGTACTCAACTCACCTCCACACATATTTTATAAGCATCTTCGGAACAGAGACAGTGTCCTGCCCATCTTCACTGAGTGGAAGCCCTCTTAGCTGAGCTCCACCGGCTTGGCCAAGCCCCTCCATTCCTCCCTAAACACCCTGCAGCACGCCAGCTGAGGTTGCATTTACCAGGAGTCTGCTGTGCTAATTCCCGAACCTTTTTTATGCCACTTCTATTTGTTTTTATGATTACCATTTAATTAAATAGTTAACTGAAACATAAATGCAGAAACAAAGAGTTTTGTTTTCTACAAAATTAAACTAAGTGTTCTAGAATAGCAATTCTGAAATTATGGTCTTAGATGACACCGTTTCAGGAGATCTATAAGGTAAAAACTATTTTTAGTGTAATCTTAAGATGTTAAAAGCTTTTTCATTCTCATTTTTTGGAAGCTATAGGAAGTGTGATAATGTGTGCCGTATAGTCTTGTGTTTTCTAGAAATTTCTAAGATACAATTTAGGCTGTTAATATGTTTTCAGAAATTAACTGAGTTTGTTCTCAGGATTTCAACTAGTATTTACCATCAAACTTACATAATACCTATCATAATGTTATCTCATCATCTAATAAATCATTATTTTAAAATCCTGAAGATCAGCAAAAGTAAAAAACTTTTATTTTGAAAGTTATTTTTCATAAAAATATCCTTTTATGCTAACATGTAATAAACTCTTATTTTAAATGAATGAATAACTTCTTAAACGTTTTCATTTTTAACACGATAAATATCGATAGAGACAGCCACATAAACAAAGACAGTATTAAGAAATCTTAGGATCGAGAATCGCTCACCTAGAAAGATGTATTACAAATGAAAATAATTAAAAGATTAAATTAGGTGTGTGCATTTAAAGAGTAGGATTCTGCACATGGACTGGTTTGCAAATGTTTAAATTCTTTAGAAGAATTTAAGATTTTTTAAAAAATGAAAACTAATTACCAGATGTAAAAATCCATTTCCCCAGCAATTCCATTTCTGAGAATGCTTTCTACGGTCACACTTACACATGTAGAAGATGCCATTTGTACAGTTTTTCACTGCAGCACTATACATAATGACACTGGAAACCACCCGAGTTGGGGGAGAAAAGGAGGCAACACATCTTGGTTAAAAATTTACTGTCCTTCCATATTCTGGAATAATATGCAGCTATAATAAAAGGATGATAAAAGCATTTTATGTGCTGCTATGGAAAGATCTAATATAGTTGAATAAAAGCAACATGCTAAACAATGTGTCTAAAATGCTAACCTGTAGTATTTGTAAAAAAGAGGGGCAGGAGTAAGATGTTTCACTGTATACCTAGCATGTGTACGTGTGTAACTTTTTTTTACCTGTTTTTAGCCTTTTGATTTTTGAGCTATGTGGATATACACCCTAGTGAAAAAAACTCTAATAAAAATGAAACGAGAAATCACAGGTGATAAAGGTGGTGTAATTTTTAAATATAAACAATTTGCAAGTCTCATTTAGGGGGCTTAGAGAGCCAAAGAAAAGGCCTCAGGCCTATATCAAAGTTTTTGCAAATAAAAATACATGCACATGTTTTTAAGGTAAAGTGAAGTGTTTAAAGCGTGGATTTTTTTTTAAAAAATCCCTAACTTATGGCTGACCTTTTGTATTAACTACTGAGTGTACTAAGAGCTTGTAGGCACCCGATGGAAATAAACGATAAATTCGAGATGGTCAGTTTCTTGTTCCACCAAACCCCGGGCTCTCCTGGGAACTTGGTTCCCCATGGCTGGAAACATCAAGCTGTTTCTCTAGGCTGATTCCGTGGCCAGCCTTCATCCCATCTTTGTTGGGTCCCAGAGAGCTTACAGGGGGCTCTGTCCCTGGATCTCAGCTGGGACAACGAAGGGTCCCCTCTCCTCAGGAAGCCTCAGTGGACACAGCAAGGGTAGAGGGAGACAAGGCACCTGGGGCTTGGAGACCTTGTGGTGAGGCTGCCCGGCTTGTCCCCTGGGAGGGCCCCAGGCTGGCAGCAGACTCTGGACTCCTTATCTGCTGGCATTCTGCCAGCCCATTAGCCTTGAGGTTAAACAATTCCTCTCTAGTCACCTAGTAGTCCAGGCTGGGGCCTCACGGCACGACCCTTCCTCATCCATTCCTTACCCTCTCGTGTCCCCAGGAAGTCTGGGAACAGAAGTAGAGGACTCCTCCAGAAGAAACTTCTCTCCACATAGGCAAAGACCACCCCCGCCATCCACTCAAAAAAGCACAGAGACAATTGGCTCCTTCCTCTTCACGTTTTCAAGGAATAGACTAAGATTATGAGCAATTTCATCATCACATTTAGGAACAAAAATGAAACCTTTCTCTGGTCTTCACCATCAAGCCTCTTGGCTGGTAGCAAGCAATATAACTTGGGGACACTCATTAACCTCTCTAGATCCAGTTTTTTCAGTTCTAAAACAAAGGGGCTAAACTCAAAGCTTCCCAAAGTCCTTCTGGTTCAACATCCTATCATCCATGGTTCTGAAAAATACCTATGCATTTTCTTCGGATATCAAGTGCAAATAGGCTGAATTATTTTGACAGAGTGGGGAGAAGATCCTGATACCCAGACATATACAATCCATTCGCAGCACAGCTACTTAGATCCCAAGTCCTATAAATACTGGACATGGATTGAGGTTCCTCCTGGAATTGAGCGGAGTGTGAACAGGTAAGGAAAGAGGAAGAAAGTGGGAAGCGTTTGAAATCAGAACCAGTCCAGCCAGTGATTGGTATATACTGTGTGCGCATGTGCGCACACACACACACATACAGAGGCGCACACATGCATTGTTAGTCCTTCCTGCCCATTATCAGCCCAGAAAAGGAGTGTCTCTGTTACCTGAAGAAATCGGAGTAGCTCCCAAAACTAATGGTGAAAAAAAAAAATCTCTTTTCCTTTTGCCTAGTGAATCTGGGGCAATCCCTGGCAGGCCACAGGAAGGAGGCCCACCCAGAAAGGCAGGGAAACTGCATCCATCCTAAGGAGGAGATGAACCAGTCCTAAGTCTGGGCTCATCCTACTCCTAAACCCAATTTACCTATTAGCTTCTGGGATCCCTAAATAATCTGGTCCATCTCACAGAGATGATGAGGAGGAGGAGGGCAGGGAAGACAAGACATCTACTATGTTCCAGGCACAACCACAACATGCTGCATGGCAGTAAAAACAGGCCCAGAGAGGTTAAGAATTTCTCCCTGATGGACAGTGATGGGGCCAGGATTTGAACAGATTCATCTGGCTCAAAAGCCAGGCATTCTCCTGTCACCTTACACCACACCTCTAGAAGAGTACTGTCCTCTCTGAACTCAACTAAACACAACAATGGGACCTCTCTGGTGCAACTCCATATGTTTTTTCTGCCCGACAAAAGTACAGGAGCCGGGCCTCATCCCTTCTTTGCATCCTGCAGTGGCCAGTGCAGAGCCAACCACAGACCAGGCCCTGTGCACTTAGATTCTGAAGGACGAATCATGAATCATTCTCTAAGGACGAATCCTTAGAGAGCCCACAATTCTGATTCTTCTCGCCTAAATGACAATCATTCTGTGTTTGGTGTCCCCTAATCATATCTGCAACCAATGGCAGGAAGAGTAACTGGCATTAGTCTATCTCCTGGCTACCACACACACAATTTATAAAAAAACTTACCTCTGAGCCTCCAACAAGAAATGGAATATGTGGTTTTTAATTCCAGCTGCTGAAAGTTATGACTCTCTACATTCTTTCTCTTGCTTTACCAAACGCCTCTCGGTGTTTATGACTATTGTTTTAAGAGGTAAGGATTAATGAATAAGAGACTACAGATCTCGTCTGACCTCTGCACGGACTCCACTCCTTCCCAGGGTTGTAGGGCAAGTGAGGAGCAGAGCTGAGACAGCGGCCAGGGTGGCCAGTCCCCATTACACGCTATCACCACCACTTCCCAGCAGCCCACCTAAGTGGCCCGAGGTTCCTAGGGAAGAGTGACTAAAGACAAAGCCAAGCCCAGGGTGGCTCCGCCAGGATCAGGTCAAAGCTGTCCTGTCCCCACCTTTCTGAGGTCCCTCACCAAATCATTCTCACACTGTGCTCTTGAACACCCAGGCCCTGGCAGACACCTGATCCTCAAAACTGTAGCCACAACCCAAAGCTGAAATATTCTTGGCTTCACTGGACCTCAGGATCACATGGTGAAACCGCTCGGATAGCTATTTTGTCCCATTGCCCTAACCTGCCAAAAGAGGGCAGCCTAAACCAGACCACCTAAGTTGGTCGGTACGGACCAAAAATAGCTAAAAAGCTATGCCCACGGGGCACGCCGGATCGGAGTTAGCCAAGTCTCTCCTTTGCTATTCTCCATCTCCTGCTACCAGCCAGCCGAAAGATTTGGGGCATTTATCTTCAGCTGGGAGGTGGTCTGGTGGGGGCCACAGTTCCTGGAAAGCAAAGTCCGGAAACCAGTACCCCGTCCGGGCCGCCCCAAGAGCTGCCCACCAGATTTGCCCATCTACTCTCCGCTTTTTCTGTCTTCGCATCCATGAGCTCCAGGAAGCCTCCCTCAACCCTGCAGCGCAGCTTCCCACGTTCTGGACACCTTCTCTGGCTCCGACATCCAGCGTTCTCCAGTCCAACCGACCGCAGCTGCGACCTCCCTTTCCTCTCCTAGTAACCCCATCGTGGCACTGAGGCCAGGTGTCGCCTCCATCCAACGTCCGGGTCCGTGTGCGGGTCCTCTCGAGCGGCTTCCCGGTCCAGCCCGAGGCTTTGGGGACCGCGGCCGGGCTCCTGGTCCTTGGCGCTGCCGGCCCCCACCCCCACCCGCACCCGCACCCGCACCCGCACCCGGTGACCTGAGCCCGGAGGCGCGCTTCTCCTCCGCGCGTTGCCGCATCCCTCGGGCACGGCGCGGCCCCGTCCGCCCCTCACCTGAAGCTGGGGCGGACACCAGCGGCCTGCGCAACTTCACGAACCAGGCCCTCGGCGGCAGGTAGCGGCAACGGCAGCAGCAGGCGACAGCA